CAGAGCTCGAGGATGTTGCATGCTTACAACCACTTTTAATCGCAAGGCAAGTGCACAGGTCGCCTAATGACTTGCTTGTTGACAGCTTGCAAATAATTGCTGTCTAACTTATAAATGCAGATGACTGCCAACATTTTGCCTTCAGTCTGAATGAGTCTTTGTCGCTGAACACAGCTGGCTGCCAGTTGTATTCTGATTATATTCATATACAACAGTAAGGTTCCCAAGTATAAATGTAATAATTAAATTTTCTGTCCATGTAGACGGCAACAGATACATGATTTTCTATTAGTTATCAAAGTTAAGTGCTTTATTATCAGAAAGAGATGGCATGTAATTACTAACTATTCCCCATTCAGTTTATCCGCTGGTCCAGTTCAGGTTGGCAGGGCAAGTGGAGCCTATCCCACCTGTTTTAGCGTAAAAGGTGGATACACCAATCCAAGCCTGTGATAGACAGGACAACCACCTATGGCCAATTTAGAATCACTAGTTAATTTAATGTGCATGTCTTTGGATTGTGGGAGGAAGCTCGAGTACCAGGAGAGAACCAATCCTGTCTTTAAGTGATGACGTGATGAATCCTGCTTCCGGGCCCAAAGTACTCAGCATTTAATAAGGCTGTTGTGTGCTTAACATGTTTTGATGCGTTGTATCTTCTTCTATTTAATCCAACAAGCCCCTAAAAACAGTCAGTGATCACTGTCGGCCTCTCTCAGGTTTTATTACCTCTATTCATTTTAAAGCTCAGTTTTTAAAACCTTAAGATATAAGTACAGCTCAGCCCATGCAGCACTTTATTAATGACTAACCTTGTATTGTGGATGGATTATCTCAGTTGTTCTCCTGACTGAAGATCGGTCCGTTTACAGCATCCTGCCATGCGATTGCATTTGTCCCTAACCATCGGGAACCCTCACATTAACTTTTATCGAGTGGAAAAAAAGTTAGCGTTCATCCTCCAGTTTCACTGTGTTTATGTTATGCTAACATAGCTGTGTCGCTAGTGATCACGTAGCACATCGTGATATACCAGCTAGCCAAACTTCAGTTACCCTACAAACGTCACTGCTGTTTATTTTCCTGTCTTCATTTATGTCAGAAGTGATAGCAGAGCTGTATGTCTTAATTTGTTTTGGAAATCCCAGAGTCAGAACATACATACAGAACATACAACATTAGGGTTGCCTACTCCCTGAAAAATAAATAAGGGACACCTCGTGGCCAGGGCCGGGCAACCCAGTTGTCTTCACCCTTCCCAGTGTGGTAGCTCTTTTTTTGTGTGTGAAATTATTTTTTAATCATTTGACTTGAATTTGATTTAAGCAGATGCATATTCTTTGTGATATGACCATATGGGAAACAAATGATCATTTA